AGTCCTACTGGGATTAACTGGAGTAGCTGTAGTGACCGAACAAGCAATCAGCGTTGATGACAATACAGCAATCAATAACTTCATCATAGTAGTTTGGTTGAGCAAGTTGTAAATGATTGTCATTCAACAAGTTGCTTTTTGGATTGCATTTATATCCATTATTGAGTGAATGGTATTAAAAGCATGTTCCTTGAATGGCTGTCACAAGGGACTATTGTTGTTGTCAGGGTTGATGTAGATTTACTGTTGTCGAGTATCAAAGCAACTTTAAAGGGATATCCATTCATGCAATGATCCATAATATTGGTTGAGCTGGTGTTTGGTTGTGTGTTCAACTATTTATGGCTGGTTGATTGCGCATCTCCCACCCTTTTCTACTCTAAAGAGGGACAGTATGTCACAATATAGGAAAGCAAGTTGAGTTCAAAATAATATCGCATAGCTATATGGAAATGGCTGGTATCAAGTCGATATGACGGTCATCAATGTGTTGTGATATTGTATGGTTTGCAATCACAATTGATTGACATGATTCAAACATGTCATGGTTTAGTAATACTTTGCATTCAACTCGACATGATCAATCATCACTGCATATTGTCCAGTAATTCAATCAATCAACTGAATCAATACAATGCAATTCATGTTGTAACCACAATGTCACATTGATGATCAATGACTTGCAACTGTTGTGTTGACATTGCATGTTGTAGATATATCAATATCGATTGTCACTATATAGCTGTATCAACCACACATCATGATCATATGTCATGGTTGACTTGTATTCTGGATTGATGCACTCACTCCATCACTTGAGCAACTCGTTGTATGACTTGTATGTATACTGCAATTTGATCCAGACATTTGACATCACAACATTGTCCACATACAACCTGATTGTGATGGTGATTGTCGTGTCAGTATATGTCGAGTATGTACATTCGAGTGATCAAGCCATACATGTATATACATACAATGCATACCAGTTGAGTTGATCGGCATGTGTCAACTGGTCAATATCATCAACCTGGTTATACACGCACTTGACATGTACATCTTGACAGTGATCATTGTACAATCCATACTGTTGTGCAAACCATATATGACCAGTCATGTCAAGTATCCAATCAAACATCCAGTCATAAATACAACCAAAATTGAGTAGTCCGAGTATCGATCAACAACTGCAATCAATATCAAATTACCATGCACAATCGATTGCAGTCCACACCAGTTATAGTCAATCACACATGTCACACATACCACAATGTATGCTGCATTTGAATACATATCATGATGGTCAATATCAACCACACACAGCTGGTACACGCATGACCAATGACGGCACTCGACGACTGCAACGATCGATACCAACCATATCGAGTGAGTTGATACATTGCATTGACACTGGATGCACGATATCAATAGTGTAATATGATATATTACAGCGAGTATACCAATGACTCGCCATTTTTGAACGAGTCAAACTGGTCGAGTTGATCAGATCTGATATCAACACACAACTATTTTGTTAGTCTCGGTATTCTACTTGATACATGATGTGTAAATACGACTTGTCAACTGATATTATATCAACAAAACACATGCATGTCATGATCATCGATTTGTACAGGCATGCAATATATAACCAACTGTATTTAAAATACAAGTGTCAAAGTACAATGATATCAGCAAGCATGTTGATCAAGACTGGAATGATCAAACCCAGCACATGTATGCTCAATGTATTGTAATGTAATGTATTTATTACAAGTTGAATCAGTAATGCGGTTGTAGAATGACAGTCGATTAGATTAGAACCAGTTCGGATTAGCACTCGAATCAATAACTCGCGATCTTCATCTCAAGACCGACTCAAGAACGATCGACTTTCCATGCAAGACTGGATGAAACTTTTCGCACACTAGATGCAACTCTCCGTAGACTGGATGAAGCTCTCTGTAGAGTGGATGAAGCTCTTCGCACACTAGATGGAACTCTCCGTAGACTGGATGAAGCTCTCTGTAGAGTGGATGAAACTCTCCGTAAAGTGGATGAAGCTGTATGTTGACTGGGTGGAACACTGGAAGATGTTTGAGTAGAATGAACTATAGATGGATTCATCGATGACGATTCGGTAATATCAGGATCTTCCAAGACCTTGGGGAACTTTTGAGGGTTGCGTATTACTTCTTGATACGATGGAGGTTGATCACCTGGGTTCTGTTGAGTCACTTTATAGAGTTTAGGTTTCCTCATTACAACTCCATATGATGGTGGTGGACCTTGAGGTTGTGGTGATGAGCCTTGCGTTCCACTAGTAGAGGCACGCTCAGAGTCCATTGATGAACTCCGTATGTCAATGTGAAATTTACCAAAACAATTCAGAAAGATCTGACTTGTTAAAAGGTCCATCATGCGCTCCTCACTAACCAGTCCAGAATTGACGCGGAAACCACCAAAAAACTTTCTTGCAAGACTTTCTTCAGCTAAACGCAGTTTCTCGTACTCAGAATAATGTTGTCTATCGCATATTATCTGCTGGTTTTGAAGATCTGAAAGAGCAGCATTCCCATCTTGAATGAGTGACATAGTTTCCGTATAACCTGGGCCACCATCACTTGGCATAGTTACAGGCGACATTGACTCGATTCTTTCATTCAGATTTTCTACCGCTATTGTTTGATCAATAATTTTTGCTGTTATCGACTTGCATTCTCCATATGTTTCTTTGAAAGTATGTACCCTCTTTGCGTATTCTTTGATTACTGTTTTTTTCTTCCTTGAATATCTACCACAATTAACCGTGTCTACATCTAAATCAACAAATGTCAAAATGTTGGGATAAGTAGTTGCAGTTGCAGTGTAAATAGCTGTGGAACTAGATCCAAGGTTTGCAGTCGCGCTGGGATTAACTGGAGTAGCTGTAGTAACCGAACAAGCAATCAGCGTTGATGACAATACAG